GCATGAACAAGAAATAAACCTTACAAATACTGTTGATTTTGTTTTACAGAAATCATGTAAGAAATAGCTGTTAGCACTGTTAACATCTTTTGTGTGTAAATTAACTATTTAAGTACTACCTATTTAAATATTATTTAATCTAAGATATGTATTGAATTAGGCCTAATTAATAAAGACAATAACTAACATCAAATATACTGATTTACGAGCTGATCATTAAAAACAGAGATGAGGAGACATGTCGTAAAACAAAACCAACCAAGATGAGGGTACTCCACAATGACCTGAGACCCACAAATTGAGACTGGTCGAGACTGGTATGAGACAGAAGAAATTAAGAGGAATTAAGACAAAACGTAAAATGTTTTTTATAAATTTTTATGTATAATATTAGTGAAGTGTTTAGAAGATTCTTGATGTGTTTAATGATTCTTGAAGTATTTAGTACATTTTTGTACAGACAATACCATTGAAATGTGTATTATTGTTGTTATTAAATTCTGGTGTAATTAATGTGTATCAGGAACTGAGGAAAGAAATGGTAAATTAGTTGCAGCTATGTGTTTTTTTTTTGTTTGTTTTTTTCCCACACAATTGAGTTATAAGATTCAAGTTCAATAAAAATGAAGCTAGTTATTACCAACCCTATGCTTGCCCCATGTAAAGCAGGAGGCCTTATCCTTCAATAGGCTCTGCAAAGGCTCTAATAAATAAAGAAGTAAATTAATTAATATATAATGATTCAATATAGTATGTAATTTAATTAATTCCATATATTCAAATCTTTATTATCAATTACATATTGTTTCCTTTATCTTTATTGTAAAAAATATCTTCTACTAACAATTGTTTTCTCTGTGGGATCACAAAGTACAAAAATCAAGAACAATTCTCTTTGATGAGCACAGTGTATGAAAGAATAGCAAATACAAAAAATAACGGCAACATTCAAAGTGTTATTTAGAAAAATAGCTTGCAACTTCTGGAAAGTCAAATAAACATCTAATAATGCATTCACACACTAATTTGTTTTAGAGCAATGGAGAAAAAAACATATCTTGCTGATTCGTTAAAGTAAAATAAAACTCATATCACACATCCAATAATGCTCTCAGAGCACAATGGGTTTGGTAACAACATTAACAATTCTTCCACCCATGTTATCGATCTGTTTTAAAAATATTAATTTAAAGTTACTAATGTGTATGGGCATTAACTGAATTGTTTAATTCTATCTTATTGATGTATCTTACAACATATCTGGGAAATAAAAATTGTATTTAGCCATCTTATTTCCCAACCTTAGCTGCTTTACTTACTCAAATACTGCTTTCTCAACAAAATGTATAAAATTTATTTTTAATTTATTTGAGAGGACAACAGGATATTAATAATGAAACTTTCAAGATTCAAGGGTTGATACTTTCACATTTTGTGCCAAAGACCATTTCAACAGTAAAAAATTTGTTGAGGTAGTACTACTTTTACATTACTTGCTTCATATGTATCTTTTACTTATATTGATGAAATTAACATTGCACTAATATTCTCATTTAATCTCTGGACAGAAGATTGTAAATTCTGATACATAATTGAAAACAACAGGGATTCTGATTGGAATAAGAAATGTAAACTTCTTACATGTAACACAAATCTCAGTGAGATTGATAATTTGGTATAGATCTTCAAATTGTTGATCATTATTTCTCAACAAAATTTATAAAGTTTATTTTTAATTTATTATTAAATATATGATCAGTAAGCCTTTAAAAATGTTGGACTTCATTTGAAGACATACTGTTAATTTAAATTTGCATATACATTGCTCATTCTGTACAACTCATTAGTGAAGTCCATGCTTTTTTATTGCTTCCAGATCAGGTCGATGAGCACTAATTTCATGACTAAAAGAATCAAAACTGTTAAACATGGTTTCTTCTATATGGAATTTAAATTAAATTTATCTAATCCTTTGTATAGTCATAATCAGGATGCTGATTCTAATGACATGTCATCTTTTCATTGGTGCATTCTAAACATAGCTAACTTGTAAATAAATGTTTACCACTACATATAGGTGATAGAAATGTATAGTTATTGGATCTGTTTTTGTTATTTTGTATCATTTTGCAATTTTTAGGTCATTTTTTTGACCTTTGCATCATGTTTGTCATATTCATGCATTTTGTTTCCTTTCCATGTTTTTCTTAGTGAATGTTTTGTGAATTTACAAAGGCATCAAAACTAAGTTTTCATTGTACCATCAGTTCATGATGAAATTCACTACTGCAGTGGACTCTGTTTTTCGAACTTTCAAAATTACATGGATCTTTGGTAACTTCCTCTACCCTTCAAAATTCATGGTTGAACGATTGGAGCAAAAGATTACATTTCCTCCTAAAATGCCGGCTTTATATTAAATATAATTTTATATAAATAAATTGTATTTATATAAATGTATTGAATTCCATGAACTTGTAAAATTCATTGAATAAGTACTAATTTTGTACTAATTTCTTAGTGTTCTTTTGTAAAATTAGGCCGTTTCTCTCATATATTTTTAAGTAGTTTTATAGCTCATTTTCAAAGAATTTTTAGGTCATCAGAAGCCAAACCCTGGTCATAATTATAATGATGAATCGAAGAGGTTGGAACTGTCCATGTTGAAATCCACAAGAATTTTCCATGATGTTTTGTTCATGTTTAAAGTCTTGACTGGATCAGGTTGGAATTCACTGTTGTCTGACTCATTTATACCAAATGTAAATGGATTTAATATCAGGGAAGCACCACTGCTTAGTGAATACAATTGTTCAACACAAACTTTTTCACTTCATCAGTACCTCGACTTACTAGATTAGCTAATTTATTTATTACTGGAAATGATATTAATCTTACAAAATAGGCATTTCCAAATAATGTTAAATGGATTATATATGAGTTTATTTAAACTACATATTGTGATTGTATATTAGTCTGTGGGATCTAGTAGTGTATGCAGCAACATTATCAATATTATTTTCTTTTTCTTTTTTGTAGTATAACATATTATTTCATAGTCAAGTAGTTATTGAATATGATTTACATATGGGGCTTAGAGCCGGTTGATTAATTTTAAATAAGATATATACAATTTGCCAATGATACCGAACCCTCCCCTGAGTCATCTAAGCTATTCACATCTGCCGTACTTGATTTTATTTAATCTGAGTTACTTTGTCAAAAAATTAAAAAAACTAAGTAACGTACAGAGGAGAAGTATAATCCCCATACTTATTTTTTTTCTTATGTATCCTTATCCCACCCTTTTAAAATATATTCTAGTTGAATAATGAATAATAGTACTAATAAAGCATGGTTCGGAACATTTGTCAACAAATAATTTTAACTCCTGATTAATAGAAAACTTATTTGCATTGATATACATACTGCAGATTTGATTTTGTTGTTTAGCTAACAAAAGAGGAACCCATACCACTAGCCCTACTTCTACTACAACTAGCAAAAGTAGAGCTCAACAAAATGAGAAACATAAAACTATGCAACTATGGTCCTGGAGTCCAACTATGTGCCAAATGCACCTTTGAGCAAAAAAATGAAACTGAACTGCTAGTATCATCTAGCAATTCTAGATGTCACTAGCTTCATTTTACAAACGTGTTTGCTTGAAAATACATTTGAATGATAGTTTGACACCAAGACCATAATTTCTTAAATGTACTGTACTGTAAGTAGTGAAATTCAGAAGAAAAATAAAGAGGACATATCAGCATTTGCTCAATGGATTACAAAAATTGCACAAAAAATGGAGATATGGAAGTCATTAAACCAGAGGTCTTCTAGCCAGAAAGTATAGAGAACTCAAGAGCAGATGAGTCTAGAAGCATTTCAGAAGAGGGCCCATGTCAGTTCAAATCCTCATTAGTATTTTTGATTTTCTTTTTCTTATTTTAGCTTGAAATAAAAAATGCAGAAGTATATTCATAAAGGGAATACGCCCTTGGATGTGATGATATCTATATATGGTAATACATTTGTATAAATTGGGTTTACAAAAAATGTTGACTTTGGGGGGAAGGGGGGAAGCATTGCTCTCTCCAATCTGACATTGAAACAGTTTAGGTCCACCACATATGAGATTTAGCTAAAAGCATCACCAGAATCACTCGTTCAGAATTTGTTGAAGAACCCCGCCCACGCTATTTGATAATGAATTGGGTAAATCCATGACGGTTTTTATATAAAAGGTTATTTTATGGGTTCATACTTAATATGTTTTTAATGTGATAATTATATTGGAGATTTCATTTGTCTCAGAAGAGACACTAAACTATCTGATTGGTATTGTAAAGTAAGAATAATTTATAAGTATGGGACTACGTCTTGTCTGTTTCTTTTTTGTTGATTAGTTTATTGACCATGTGAAGAAAGCCTTTTATTCAGCAGTTGAATATCCTCTCAAAGAATAAGAACGTCATTAACCATTCACATACCAAGCAGGATTCACATGTACTCCAATCTCACTCTTTTACTTGTGTACATTTCACTTATTTTGTGATATTGAAATTTCATTACATTGTGTAAAATACTTTCATTTATAATTGTGTGTTAAAGAAAGTAATAGTTTTAGGATGCTTTATGTTTCCTACTTAAAAACAAACAATGATGTATAATTGTAGCATGCTTGGTATCGAATGTCAACAATTTTTATTCCTTATTAATTATTGGAAACAGAGATTGAAAGAGTAGAACAAGATGCAGTAAGTGTTCATCATTTATGCGTAACGAACATTCAGATACAAAAACAATAAAAATTTGCATCGGTTGCCTAATAAAAGAATAACCTTAAACATAGGAATAAAATTACTTAATTCTATTAAACTTGTCGTTCATTATTTAATAACTGCTTAAAATAATCAAACTTTTCACATTTTAGTTACTTATTTTATATTTCAAAGGAATCTTGCATAATATTCGATTGGGGTACACCTGCATTCAGTTTAGTGTTCAGCATTACATTTAGAGCTTGGAATGCAGAGGGTTAATTTTGATTGAGCTTTTATGATCCTGCACAATAAATGATTTAAAATCATACTCTCGGACAACCCCTTTTAACGAATTGGTAAAAGAAAGTCAGTGTCTCTGCTGTCAGGATACGAAAAACACACCAACCAGAGAAACAGCAGTACATTGCATTACATCAGAGATACCATGAGTCTTCCTCTTAAATTGTCAAAACTCTTTGATACATTACACTTATTAGTGTTATCAAAGTTGAAATGATACAAATCTCATTCCACAAGCCTACAGTTTGAATGATTGTATGTCTGAGAGGGTGCAATTTTTTTTATAAAATATGTAAACAATTGTAAATTATGACCTATGCCATAGTAAAGTTTCTTAGTACATACTAATCACTCATATTTGTTGATGATGTACTATAAGTAATATTGAAAATTCATTAAAAAGTGACACTTGATAAAAAGTTACTTTTTTAGCAAAGGTTACTAACTACAAAGTTAACTATGTAATGGGTTCTGCTGGACTCAAATTACCTCAAGAAGTTTAGAAAAAAAATTTTAATAAGACATACTGAGAAAACAAGTAAAAACGTTAAAACTTACAATGCCACAAAACAACGTAAATGAAAATTGTCACACAAATGCATAGGTAGCATAACGGTACACCAAGGATCTCAAACCTTTAAAGAATAATTGTCATAACATCACTTATAAAAGGACATTGGCTTCTAGTATGTTTTGTATCACTAGAGATGAAATAAAGAAAGAGCATATTAGTCTACATCATTATCATCAGCAGCAGCAGGAAAGATTACACTTTTCTGTTTATTCTGGCTCTTAGAATTACTCACTACACCTTTTTAGGGCACCTCATATTTCTTCTTCCTCTTGGCTTGTAATTCAAAGCTGCTCTGTTTATTCTTTCTTCAGATTCTTAAGATACAAAGGTTTTCCACTTAATTCTATTCTGGTTAATAGTTTCAATTAATTTTATTTACACTTAAAGCTTTTAATTCCTTTCTAATTTCATCACGTTTATTGCAGTGTGTTTCTATAAAATTTCATTTCTGTTGATTGTCTGCCTTTTGTTTTGGCCTTCAGTTAGTTTACATCATTCACTTCTGTTAGTAGCACGATTGGTAAGGGTTTATATAATTTATCATTTCTTTCCTACCTTTATTATTTACTGTATGTTCTATTTTACCACAGAAATTCCTATATCTCTTTAATTTCACTTTCAAATCATCATTTTTTGTGTATACTATTGTTTAGACTAGGATATTTACTGTGTTTTCTTATTGTCTAGAACTATTTTGGATTTTAATGGTTTGTATCCTTTGAATGCCGTGACATTTGTTCTCTCTATAAAAATGTTCACATTTTATAGCTTAGCTACACCATTCAGCAAACATATGGCTATTGTGATAACATCTTCCATAGAGCCTATAATTATCTGGTCATATGCAAGCAATAAACTATCCAACAAACACCTTACACAGCACCAAGCAACTTTAAAGAAACCTACATAAACTGTAATGTAACTGCCTTCCCTTTCTCAGACCATGATGCAGTGTGGCTCAAGGCAAATAATTTTACTATCTTTGATCATAAATTCAAAAAGTATATAAATATAGTCCATAAAAGATGATAAGATCATCAATTAGGAGATCACCGGTGAGGTAAATTGGCAGGAGATGTTATACAATTGTGATCCACATAGTCTCAACCGAGGTAATTTTTGATAGGTTATTTGTGTCTTTCTAAACAATTTTGAGAAGTGTTGTCCCCAAAGAAAATGCACTGTTATGCATAACAGTCAAAAGGAATGTATCAAGTAAGAAAGCCAGTTGGTATGCCCATTTTAGCAAATGTGAAAGAAAGAGTAATGGTACATAACTATGTGTACAAGCGAGGCAAAACAAACACAAGTATGCAATCTTATCTAAAGGCAAGGATGGAATACAAAAGGTCAATTCATTTCCATGTTCATTTCCATCACTCACAGTTTAGTCACAATTTGATCTATTAAGTTACGGGAAAATATACACTAAATCACAATAAAAATGAAAAGTATACAACTTTTAAAATACCAATATAACTTTATTTAAACATAGAATATGACATTCTACAAAGGCTTCTCTTGTCCCTTAATGTATATTTTCTGGTTTCTGCTAGTCAAATGCAACTCTGACTACGTACCCACCATGCCTATCAATGTGCAGTAGTGGAAGGGCTCACAATGTAGAAATATTTTACCAAAGTCTATACTACCCTCTTTGTCATCCTAATACTTTCTTGTTTTAACTTCCTGTATCTCATATGTTTCTAGTCTTATTTAGAGATATACAAATAAAATGTTAAAATGTGAACAAATGGTGGGTAAAATGGCAATTTCAATGGATTTTTTGGGTCAGCACACTTAAAACGTAAAAGTTAGATAAAGACACAAAAAGTTTTTTGGTCATTGGCCGATGTAATTGAAGCAAAGAAACAACAACATAACACTTTAAGTACTGAAGCAAAACAACAATGAAGTACTCAAACAACAAATGAAAGATGGTCTGGAAGGTAATAAACAGTATCACTGCGAGTAGCAAAAGAGACGACATAACTATGTCCCCTAATGATTTTAATGACTTCTTTATTAATTCCATGAAGGAAATCTACAAAAACATTGAAGGGACAAACAAAGCTCATGCTTACCTTGCTGAACAAGATATGTTAAAAGGAAGTCATCATGTTAGCTTTAATTTCTCACAGGTAGCCCCGGGCACAATATTAAATACAGCGAGAAAATGAAAATCTTCAGATAGTGTTGATGTATATCACTCATCAAGCAACCTTGTAGCAAATCCAGAGCTGTGTCAATCTATAAAAAAGGAAATAAAAACTATGCGTGCAGTTTTGGACCCATATTTTTGGTTTCAGTTTTTTCATAAGTATTTGAATTTGTTACATCCCTACAACTAATACTTGACCTGCTTTAATCAATTCAATATAAATAGAGAGGCACAAATCGTATTCAGGAAAGGAAGATCCAAGGTAGATACAATAATTTTTCTAGTAAAAAACGTTCTCCATGGTTTTGAGACTTAAGATTATGCACATACCTTTTTCTGTGTCCAAACAGCTGCTGTAGGGCATTTGATTGTGTAGATCATACCATTCTGCTGAATTAATTAGTCTAATGACATAAGTAGCACAGCCCTTAAAATATACCTTCAGAACTGTAAATAAATTGTTTGCATAGGAAAAAGAAGATCAGAGATTGTGGTGTTCATTGGAGCTCAATTCTTGGACCTCTATTATTTGGAATAATGGCTGAAATGAATGAAACCAAACTTGCTCACATTATCACACAATACTCAATGCTGATGACACCACATTCTTTAATTCCGACTTTGAATTACAATTGCATGAAGCAGCAACAAGAAAAACATTTTCAGCAGCAGAGTGATGGTTCAACGCAAATGCATTCTTATTGAGTGAGAAAAACTCAGACTATGACCTTTACTTTAAGATACCTCCCCAAAGACACCAATTCAGGTAATGTGGATTTGGATAATGTAACATTACTAGATATAATGATAGAAAAGAAATTATTGTGGGAAACACATACCAGTTACATTATATCTACGGTTTCTAAAGAAATGTATTTGTCATGAAATCTGGAAAGCAATGTATTGGATGTTCATATAAGTTGTGTGTACATCACTTTTTCAAAGCACCATTTCATACGGGATACTACTATAGTAAAACTGCACCCATGTAAATGACATTCTCAAACTGCAGAAAAAAGTCATTTAGATATTCTAATTCAGACAAGCTAGCCCACTATCAGTCGTTGTTTACAAATCTAAAAATATTAACAGTGATAAATCTGTATGAATACACAGTAGTGTGTTATGTAAAAGGTAATACGTCAGACTTGCAATGCAGAAGTTATGTACGCTCCTACAACATCAGAAATAATAGGCATAAAAATGTACCATTTCACAAACTCAATAAACTGCTTTGATACACTAGGCACAAAACTGTATAATAAATTACCTCTAAAATTAACAGAGTTGCCTCTAAAAGTATTCAAAGGGGACCTGCATGATTGGTAGATTGCAACATCTTTTTACTCGACTGAATAATTTATGGAACATAGAGATAGATAATAATTTAGTAATATAATATGTAACTTAGTAAATAAGTATTACCTTGTAGTCTTATAATGTTGTAGTGTAATTTGTAGTATTATTGTGCATCTTTGAAAATATCTTATAACTGGACTATTACTGCACACTTTCTAAATGTGTCCTGCTATTCTTAATTTTATATAACTTCCAACTGTATTACTGTAATGTGAAATGTATTTTAGTTTAAATACACCACAATCTACAATTGAGTAACATACTCTATAATGTTCTAATAATCTATAATGTAAGGCAATCATATGACATTGTCTATTGCTGCTGTCACAGCTTAATGACACAAAAATATATTATGATTATTATATTACAATAGGAAGAGAAATTTATATTATTTATGAATTGTCTACTTAAAATTTTAAGTCATTCATTTATGATTAAGTAATTACATTTAACAAAATAGGTGACAATGAGCACCCTTGCCTTACAACTTGATTGATACCTCCAGTTTCTTTTCCGTTTATAGTCGTTCTTATTTTTATTTTGTTTTCTCTGTACAGGCTCTATATTGTTCTTATTAAGTATTCTGGCTCCTGCCAAAAGTGTATTGTAATATCCTGCAAACTTTATCAATTGTCTTTATCAATTGTTAACACACTTATAGATTTTGTTTCCATATTCTCTTATTAATTGGATAATTGTCATAGATGTATGCAGCCCAAAACAAGAGGGGGGAATAACCACATCGTTGGGATCCTTTATCTTTTAAAATTTTATTTACTAATTACATTTTAATTATACACAATTGTCTGTTTTTGAAATATATATTTGTTCGTTTTTAGGAGTTTGATTTTTTCAGTGTAGTTTCCCTCCTTTTTCTATATTATTAGCTGATTTCAATCAATTTTGGATTTTTAATGCATTTTACGAGCTTTTTGTGGGAGGTCGACTCTATACTGGCCACCTATTTCATATTCCCAATAACTTCTATTGCTAAATAGGACGACTATTAAGTTACACTGTCATCGTCAAACAAAAACGATTCAATATTACAATTTTGTATTTAGTATCACAATAAATTTGTAATAACATCGCAACAAAGCGAATTTCATTATCAGCCCCACAAGCAATTATAAGACTAGATTCCAAATCAAATATGTATATCTAATTTACGTTAGGTTCATATTTCACATAGTAATCTACAGACAAAACATGTCCGTTATAATATCAAGGGCAATATTACTCATACTTGAACTGTATGTGTCACCCCGTCATGGTCTCGACGATTTCTCTTTCAAATTTACAGGCTACAATTCGAATTGCGCATTCTCATTGGTGGTCCTCTCTCCTAGAATGAGTCACATTCCCCGCTCTCCTCCACTGCCTGGATTTGCTCGCGCGCGGTTGCCGAGGTCAGTGAAAGTGCAAAATGCTGTGCAGGTCTGACCTACTGTAGTGTACTGAGTCTGTAGAGGGAGTAAAATATACGTCACCGTCGCGTTGGGATTCGAACCCTTGTGAGGTGAAGCGAGGCATCGTTGCGTCCCTTGGCTGCTCGCCTTCCACCCGGGTCGCGCTGGGATCGTTTCCAGATGTTCAGGCTGACCGCTCGCCATCCCCGCACCCCCGTGCGAACCGCCGAACTAGGGCAACATCACTCCCGCTGACGATGGACTGGCCCGGCGGTACATAAAGAACGCGTTCGGCTACAGAAATCGGCGCTCGTTTGCCGCTCTTCGTGAGCGCGGTTGTGATCCCCGTCGCAGTCTACCGAGTTGACCAAGGCGGTAATCGACGCTGTGTCGAACCTAGCGACCCACCGTCTGCTTGCCACTCCATCCCCACCCTTCACATGGCGACGACCGACTGAGCGCTGGGCTGCCTGGCCGCTGTGAAGATGAAATCTGGCACTTGCAACAAGGGCACACAATAAACTGCTTTTATTAATCAACCCAGTAGTCATCATTTTCCCATTACATACTCCCTCCCCTTATGTCCCCTTATGTCTGATTTTTTTTATACGAGCTGAATATACAAGGCAATGTAAAGAGCCAATGAAACAAACTGCTCATACCATTATTTCCATGAACTCCTGAGGCATGGAAATGAAATGCAAGGATGGTTTACAAATTATTATTTGTTTAGAGAAACTGATGAACATGATGCAAATAATGCTTTTATTTCATTATAAAAAATGTTCGTGTAAAACATATTTCGCTTAATAATTATTTTTGCATTAAACAAGTGATTCAAGAAGATATTATAATATCAGAAAGAACAATATTACTTTATAATGGTAATTTGTTTCGGCATTCCAAGATTCATCGTATGAGAAAGCAAACATTTGACTAAGTGCTTCGCGGTTTCTGCACGGCCGCTTTTGACTCCATTTTCAACGTAGTTGTGAATGTCTCCTTCCTTCTCTCTCCAGGCGCCGTTGCAGCTCCGCGTCCGACAACGGTATGGGATGATCATCTTCATCGAAATTCATCGACGGTATTCGCGACAAGTCGGCTCCGTCGGCGAAGCTGTGCGAGTGCCACTCTGGGAACACGCACACGGAGGAGGCTTTACGCGCGTAGAGGCGTGGGCCAGCGAGCCCCCGGACTGCGCCGGCTCGCTTTCGTCAGGCGGACGAGTGCGAAGCCCGCGACGGGCGAGACGAGCGGGACGAACGGGAGAAAAAAGAATGACGAAGGCTGGCACTGTCGGGCACGTTGAGGTTGTACTCTTTCCACTCTGCGAACAAAAGGAAGGAATCCAAAGGCTCTTTTGCAAGGACTGATGGTCGACCGTGAGCGCAGGATGTGTCTGTATCGCTGGCCTAGCTACGAGGTGTGCCGGACTCTAATCAAATTGCGTCTAGAGCAACACAAGACTATCCAAACAATATCGTGAGAAGTTGCTCGTGCGGCGGGCAAAGAATAGTCATAGCTTGACAACTAACAAAACTAGTGGTGCTACAGCAGCACATACTTTCTCGCATTGTTTCTAAACATGCTGTTTTTTAAAATTTAGAGAGTTCAACGAAAATGAGACCTGCGCCATTCTTTTCAGCGTCCCTCGTATTATTCGCGAGAAAAAATGTAGAAAAAAATGCAATAGAGCGATTTTTGAGAAAATATGCTTTTTATAAATTCCATTATTTTCAAGCAGAAATTACGCGAAAACGACTCTGGTTTCTTCGAATATATTTTGTTTAAGATGAAAATCTCTTTCTTCAATTTAATAGTTTTGAAAGTTAAAATTTTGCAATTTCCAAAAATACGAGACTTGTCTGGAACTGACATTGGCCCCTATTTTTATCGACCTTTAATACAAACGAAAATAAAATTTAAAGAAAAGAAGCAGTGCATTTAAGAAAATATCTGTAGTATTTATGTTATTTTTTAAATTTCCAGTTTTATTTTATTCAACAATTATAACCCAGATACTATTCATATTATAATTGAAATATTGTACTTTGATTCTCTTATTTCAATGATCTGCCTTTAAAGAAAGCAATTATCATTTCACTGGAGAAAAATGTATCTCCCAATATTGTGGTTTGTAAGAAGACACAAAATATTTGTTTACTCTTGCAATTTTCGAAGATTCAGAGATTTTACGAAAATGAGACCTGCATCATTGTCTTAAGCGTTCTTTTTACTGACTGACGACAAATTTTAATCACGGAATATGGAGGTATATTGAAAAACAATTGAAAATGTTTTTGAGGTTTCATGTAAAGTTCACTCACAAATCGAATAACCATTTCAACTCAGAGGACCTCAAGTTCATTTAAATTTATCCAGGAATATCAATATTGAAGAAAATCAACTGAAGGATTTTGGCGCTAACTTTGACCACAGACAGGCGCACAGAGACGTTTTGCCTTTCATCTATTTTTAGGACCCACAAATTATGGTATCAAGCACTCACAAAATATGGATTCCTGTTTACACGTGTTAGAGGAACAAATTTACAGTATGTAGAGAAACATCATCATCACTGTTTTGTTTCTAAGGCTTGGCAATAAGAGTTTTTCTGCATAAAATTCACCGTTTTCCGAAACACGATTACAATTCTGTCTCGTCTAACGAAGTAAGGGCGAGAAAGTAAAAACAGCTGAAATGCGCGAAAATTACAGAAGCGATGTTTCTCACTCCTTGAAGATGGTCTCCTTCAACTTCACCATTGCCGTCATCGATGTGACTGTCCACGAGAAAATGGGGGTCCGGTCTGGCACACGAGTGTGGAGGCTGCGAAACCTTTTTTCATGCTGCTTAGCCGAAGTAGCAGCTGAAAATTGTTTTTTACTAACTGAACTCTCAATCAGATATAATGGTTCAGTCACGTGAGCAATTATTTTGACATACGTTTCTGCCAAGTCATGTTGGGAGATGTAGTCAGTGAGTAACACGTAGAAATGATTCGAACCCATTCAACAAATGTGTCTGTGGTTGGTGACACTGTGGTACCTCCTATTATTTTTGTCATTCTCCCAAATGGAGAATGGTCGCATAAAACAATGTAAGTAGGTGACTAGAAGACTAGGTAAGTACTCGTACACTTCAAACCTATTTAAAGAAATATTACTTAAACGGATTGTATAATTCGTTTAACTCGGCACATGGTGCTTTTGCAAACGTGATGAAGGTGATTAGATCTTCTATCAGAGCAATTGTGCGGTATTTATAGGCGTGCACGAAGAGGGACAGGGCGCTGTAGCCTCCTGAAAGTTTGAAGGGGCGTAACCTTACTGAATAAACCATTTTTTCGGAAATGTGTTAAAATGACAGAACTGTAGTACATTTTAATATTTATAGCGATGACAAGAGGACGGGCACACTGTATTCTTACTATATTCTAACCGCATCAGCGTTTCAGAAATATTGCCTTATTACCTAACAATTTAAAATTTGAAAAAAAATCGGATGTTTTCTAAGTGATAGTAAAAATCAATGCTTGAGCTTTCAACATTTAAGTCAACACTTGTCAAAATTATTAATTTTTTACAATATATGCAAAATATTATAAAAAATGCACATTTTCAATATACTTTATACTTAAATTTACTTTCGAAAATGTGTTTATTGAAATTGAATATAGACATTTGTGATTTCGAAGTATAAAGTTAATATTAGTTCTCAAAAACTAACGGACTTGTTACTTTAAACGGGTTTTGACAAGTTATTATATAAACTTCATGAAATCATATTAAATGTATTACATTAAAAACACGAAGAGATATACGTTAAACATTTTAAATTGACCAAATCTATAAAAAAATGGAAATTGTACATTGTTTATATGCAGTTTACCTACAATAGAAACTTTCGGATCTATCTTTGCTAGATGTCTAATATAGACTCGACCTCTCCTTAGAAACATCTGTAAATACTTTAAAAATTCAAAATTGTCAACAAAGCAACAAATGTGGAAAAATGAGCGGAACTACTTAGACAAAATGTGTCCAAATATAATGGCTAATCGGTCTTATGAAGACAAAATATGTTTTTCAAAAATAGACTGAAAATTGTGTTTAAGAAAGGAAAATGTGTCCCAAATATGTTATTTGCCCCCTCTTACTTTGGGCTGCGCACGCGTATGACTTTATTCGTTTACCTTCGACCTGCGTGATCTCACTTTCAATTTATAAACGAATTCATAATATTATCTCTTGACCTTCGTCGTGATTTGCAACAATTATTTCTACATTATTTTTAGTGACAACCTCGGAACAAACTAAATCACGCGTGAACACTACCCATAAACTCCCCCTCTCTAAAGTGACACTTCCGGAGCCTTCAGCGGGCAGGCGTTTCTGTCTTTATGACTGGCGGAAATGCAAGCACGTTTTGCAGAGTTATGCGGACTTCAACGAAGCATAACTGATTTCGACTGTGTCAAAATAATTGGCCACTGGTATGAACGAAGCATAGCAACCGCGACGGCAGTGGAATACACACGGACGTCTGCATTCACGCTGCAGTCAATATTACTCGTATTCTCATGCGAATGAGGCGATTCAACATCCTTGGTCTACTGCTCTGCCCAGGAAGGAATGGGGAAGTTTCGCAACGCTATGCGAGGCAAGTCCGGCCTTCATATATTTTTTTTCAAATTCAAGACTTGAGTCCATTTATTTAGAAGTTGAGACCATCCATTAGAAGTTAAGATTTTAATCCATTTATCTTAAGGAAAACTTGAAGGAACTAGTTAGGTACACAACATCGGTTTCAGAACACAGCACATAAAAGTGTGTGTTGTGACACTAAAATATCTAACAGATAACGCGGACAATCTATCTTTAGCCGACCCGGTGGACGAGATCGCTAAGGCAGTAGAGACATAACGATCTCGGACTCTCGATCTCGATATCAGTTTTTCAGTAAAAAATACTAAATTATTAGAGTAATTTCGTAATTACAGGGGTTGGAGAAAATAATACAAACCCCATATAATAAAGGTACATCTTTTTTGCATGTTGGTGCCACTGCCAATGTATAAACTCTGTGACGCGGTTGCATCCCACTGTTGACGAGCCATGTTTTGAAGGTTATTTTGAAGGTTATATTGATCTAACAAAGCGTTCAGCTTCGAAGCTATTCAATTTTCATACTGAAGATAATGTGAATCGTGATCAACTGAATAGTGTAAATAGGGCAACTTATTATGAATTGAAGTGTTAAATGTATTATGTTAACTGTATTTTGTGCCAGTAAGTTTATCTATAGACAATAAACTTGTTATTATGCAATTCTGTGAGTGAAATCGGATACTGAAACGTAATAGCAAACGAACTTGAGGCAGCTATTTTGGGACGCGTGGTAAGGGAGTAGTAACAGGAAACCGCCTCGCCACAGGAAGGAGAGCAGGGTTTTTCCTCATAGCCAGCACGCAGCAAAGGGAGACACGAGGCTTTGGGGACCTCCGGTCTTAAAAAACGGAGACTCAAACCCTCATGGCCCGCAATAGAGCGCGGCGGGGGTGGCGTGACGTAGTAGGTCACGTGAGCCTCGACTAAATAACGGTGTGCACAGAGCCAGAGGTTGGGTTGTGGAGAGAGTGGGAGAACTTCGTGCGAATGCACAAATTTGGCCCCACGACCGTGCAGCAGCGAGCAGCGGCGAGCAGGGCTCGCGAGGCAAGTCACATGTTGATGAGCCTGTGGAGGACTTTGTGTCCTTGGGTGAATGCGGTCACGTGGAAGATATGATGTGTGCGTGCTTCGAGGTGAGGAGTGGTTGAGTGCCACGACTCTCGGTTAATTCTCAATCAAGATCGCTTCTGCGTTCGAGGCAAACAATCAGTTGGTACACCGATACGGACTTTGTGTCCCAGTGTGACATCCGGTCAAGGAACCTTTGCTTTGTGCGCGCTTCAGATGTAGGAGTGGCGAGTGCTACAATTGAAACCGATCATTAATCGGGTTGGGAACGCTCCCGCGATCAGAGGATAGTAGGTCTATCAGAGCTAGTGTGTAAGCAGGAAATTCATTGTAAATATTTATTGTGTTTTCTTTGTAAATAAATATTTCTTATATGAAAGCTCTGGGTCTGTGTTCGCTGTGAGTATCCACGACGTCACAATACATTCCTTTCACCCTCATTCACGAACTATCAAAGGGTTTTGAGACTGTTTAGCAAAGAATTCCATCTTAAAACAAATAATACTGCCCACTGAAGTCAAAAATTGCAAGACAGCATAGACAAGTAATAACTGCATACACAAAACACGGTCAACGAAGAGGATTA